CTGCCCTTCTGCAGCCTGCTTAAAATTAAGAAGGCATATCTAATCTCTGAGGGAGGAATGAGGTAGGAGGCAGAATTCAACTCCAGAAGTGGGGCTCCAACACCTGACCAAATTGAAGACTAGCTAAGAGGGAAGAGGCAAAATCACCTCTCCACAAGACACACCCACCAATGTGCAATGTCAGTTTACCATTGCCATGGCAACACAAAGAAGTTGCCACCCCTTTCCATGGCAATGACCAGGTGTCTCAGAAGTTAACACCCCTTTTCTAGAAATTTCTGCATAATTGGATGCTTAATTTGCATATAATTAAATGTAGGTATAAATGTAACTGCAGAACTGCTTCTGAGCTGCTACTCTGGGCACACTGCCTAGGGGGTAGCCCTGCTCTGTAAGGAGCAGTACCTCTGCTGCTGCTGTACACTGACACTTCAATAAAAGTTGTTGCCTCATACCACTGGCTTGCCCTTGAACTCTTCCCTGGGCAAAGCAAAGCACCCTCTTGAGCTAAGCCCTAATTTTGGGGCTCACTTGTCCTGCATCATTCTGTTCTATAGAATATCCCACATGCTGGATTTGGCTGATTGATTTTTTAAAGTGTCATTTAATTCCTTAACTCTCAAACTCACCTGCATGTTGGAATCATCTAGGAAAGTTGGCCAGGCATGGTGACTCACACCTGTAATCCCAGCACTTTGGGAGGCTGAGGTGGGTGGATCACTTGAGGCCAGGAGTTCGAGACAAGCATGGTGATGCATGTCTGTAATCCTAGCTATTCAGGTGGCTGGGGCACTAGAATCACTTGAACCCAGGAAGCAGAGGTTGCAGTGAGCCAAGATTGTGCCACTGCACTCCATCTCTGGGTGACACAGGAAGACTCTGTCGCAAAACAAACAAAAACAACAAAAAGATGTTATTCATGCCTGAGTCCCATCCTGTGACACTCTGATTTAATTGATCCTGCTTGCAGTCTAGGTATCAGGATGTTTTAAAAGCTCCCCAGTGATTTTCTGTGACAGAGTGTGAAAACTGCTAACTTAACTTGTTTCTGTAAATATTAGGATCTAGAAACTTACTTATATTCAAGTTTACTTATAAGGATACTTCAGGGGCACTGCCCTCTACCTTCTGTGGTAGCTCATCAAGAGAAAGATATTTTGTAGCAGTTTTCATTTGCAACAGTCTTTGGGACCTCTCATTTTCTGAAGTTCTTTCCCTTCCTAATCCTTGGAACACAGAGGCATAGGCAGAGAAAGAAAAACTCAGGGAAGTACTGACATGGTATTTTTTCCCCTAATAAATTACTGAACTTGCATTTTGTAGCTTCTCCATTCCACTGGGCAGAAAGGGGCTTACTGAAGTGTCCAGCCAAATAACTTACAGTCAATTACGGCTTAAAATCGAGTCCCATCTAGTTCAAAGAATTCTCAAGGCTTTCTCCTATTATAGGATAGGCCTAGTTTATCACATGCCAGGCATTGTTCTAAGCAGTTTACACAAGAGTGCTCTCAATATTATCTAATCCCTACTAATGCCTGTAACATCCCTATCTACTATTACTTTCCCTATTTACAGATTGGAAAAGTCGGGCACAGGGAGGGTAAATAATTTACCAAGCTCACCCAGCCAGTTAGTGGTAAAACCAGGATTACACAGGTAACCTGGCTATCTGTGTATCTAGCCACTGTGCTTGACTGTGAATGGGGGCTGGGAAGAAACAGGAAGGAAGAAAGCAGAAGAGAATGGGGTCCCTCAAGCCAGAGACTAGAGAGTTTCTGAAGGTGGAGAGAAGCATAAGCCTGATTGCCAGAGAAGCAGTCACAGGATGTGCAAAGTGGTGAGGGGGGAGTGGGACACTGTGTTAAGGATTAGTGGGAGGTGAAGGCTACAGTTGGGGTGGGGGGGGCTTTCTTTCAAGTAGTTTGACCTTAATGAGGAGGAAAAAAAGTGACAGATTAAGGGGGTGAGTGGGGAAGGACCAAGGGCAGCCACTGCTCACTCCAGGCAAGTGCCTGGTGATGTGTTCCGCTGCTTTGATGTTTCTGGTCCTCTTGCCAGAGTTTTTAGGGCTCTGGGGAACCCCTGCTTTCCAGCTCAATTTTAGTGTTAATTTTATGCCAGCTGCTTAAGCAAGCTTTACATAGGAAAGAAATATGAGCCACAGCGGCATCCTTCCAGGATTTAAAGGCTCAGTCCTATTTCTTATGATCCAGTGTATGTCATCCTTTCCTTCTCTTTCCCTTAACTGCCTTCCCTTGTGTGGTGGTAAGGACAGGGTAGCTAAAGGGTTAACTCGGAGACAACCACTGAGAGAAGCTTCCTAGAGAGCCCAGGAAGTTGCCTTAGTTGCCAGCGAGGCTTCCTGTGCTCCAGCTTCAACTTCCCTCCTGTGTCTGGAGAGTGAGCACTTTCACTTCCAGACATCCTTTGGGGATACTTACTGTGGGATTCAGAGTGAAGTGCAGAGGACAACCCTGCAAGGGCACGGACTATAAGAGAGATCTGTGCAGCTGCGCCTCAGGAGTGTCCTGGGCCTCTGGGCATGAGAGGAGGGGGACCACTTGCAGTTTTACTGGACAATTTACCACCTTTCCAGAATCCTCTGAAGATATACAGGTCGCAACTAGAGTGAGACCTGAGTACTGCCTTGGGTCAGAATGGCTAGAGAACCGAGAAAAAACGCAGCCCTGGACGCCCAGTCTGCAGAAGACCAGACGGGGCTTCTGACCGTGAAGGTAGAGAAGGAGGAAGCTTCCGCCTTGACGGCGGAGGTGAGCGCATCCTGCAGCCCTGCTCGGGGCCCCGAACGCTCCCGCCAGCGCTTCCGAGGCTTCCGCTACCCGGAGGCTGCGGGTCCCCGCGAGGCGCTGAGCCGGCTCCGAGAGCTCTGCCGACAATGGCTGCAGCCTGAGATGCACAGCAAGGAGCAGATCCTGGAGCTGCTGGTGCTGGAGCAGTTCCTGACCATCCTGCCTGGGAATCTGCAGAGCTGGGTGCGGGAGCAGCATCCAGAGAGCGGGGAGGAGGTGGTGGTGCTATTGGAGTATTTGGAGAGGCAGCTGGATGAACCGGCGCCGCAGGTAGAAAGAACAGGTTTAGTATCTGAGCGCTGTGGTCTGTTTCCTCCTGAAATCCCAGATCGGAGTGAGGGGCATTCCTTTAAGATCCAGGAGTTCTCCATCTCTTTTTGTACTGTGAACGTCCTTGGCAGTAAGGTGAAGTCCCTGGACTCCTTCTCAGAATTATGTTTTTAAATATATAAAGAAACTATAAAGGATTACAAAAGAACACAACCATAATGACATACAGTTAGCAAAGAGTTAAATTTGTATTAAAGTAATATATGTGGATTTTTATTAGTGCACTAAATAATAAGACCTAGGGACAGGGCTTATAATTGGCAATTTCAGAATGGTGATAAGCATCTATTTGCCTGGTTGTAATGTGATGTGAAAACATGTGCAGGTTCTATTGGTGACAAAGTCCTGGGTACTGCTTATGCTACCTTGATTTGTTGCTTCCATTCATAGTTGAAGGAAATGTTAACTCTCTCTTAAAGACCAGTAAAAATAAGATTAGTTTTTGTCCTGTCTAAGTTCATGGACCACTTGGGAGAAAGTCCATGGACCACTGGTTATGAACCTCTGGTAGAAAGTGGGCCGATTTTTACCTCCATGTTCTTCCCTGTTTTATGAGGGACTATTTCCTCTTCGCATTGTCCTGTGTCCCTGTGCACATACCCTCAGAGGACCTGTGTGGCCAAAGCCTTCTAACTGGTGAGCTGGATACCGAGGTTCTTGACTTAGGTCTATTGCACCCGAGCCCTGTAGCAGTGGGAAGTCATTATAAATCTCTTAGCTTCATTCTTCATAAAAGATGTGGGAAATTCTGAGCTGCACATGAGACAGCAACTTGAAAACTGTAATTTAGCTATAAATGTCTGGAGGAAACTTGCTTTTAATGAGGACATAACTATGTGCCAGGCCCTATGTTAGGTGATTTCACATACTGTGATCTTATTTACTGGTCTCCAAAACCCCATAAAGTAGAAATTATTATCCTCATTTTTCAGATTAGAAAATATATTAGTATTCTTTGGGAATTTAGCACCAGTGTCCAAAGGGTTTTCGTAAACACACAGATGTATATGATGAGGGAGCCTAGAGTAATGGTAAGACCACAGGATCTGGAGTCATTCTGTCTGAGCTCCCATCCTAGCATTGCCACTTATTGAAGCAGCTTGCTTAAAAGCACCTTGCCCAGGCTGGGTGACAAGGGCAAGCTGCTTAAACACTGTCCACCCTTGGCTGGGCACAGTGGCTCATGCCTGTAATCCCAGCACTTTGGGAGGCCGAGGCAGATGGATCACCTGAGATCGGGAGTTCAAGACCAGCCTGACCAACATGGAGAAACCCCATCTCTACTAAAAATACAAAAAGTAGCGGGGTGTGGTGGCACATGCCTGTAATCCCAGCTACTAGGGAGGCTGAGGCAGGAGTATCACTTGAACCCCGGAGGCAGAGGTTGCGGTGAGGCGAGATCATGCCATTACATTCCAGCCTGACCAACATGGAGAAACCCCGTCTCTACTAAAAATACAAAAAGTAGCTGGGTGTGGTGGCACATGCCTGTAATCCCAACTACTGGGGAGGCTGAGGCAGGAGAATCGCTTGAACCCTGGAGGTGGAGGTTGTGGAGAGGCGAGATCATGCCATTACATTCCAGCCTGGGCAACAAGAGTGAAATTCCATCTCAAAAAAAAAAAAGAAAAGACACAACAACAACAAAAATGCTGTCCACTCAAGAGAGAGGATCAGGGCCACATCTCCGTTTTCAGCAACTTATCACAAAAATCCAAAATAATAGCTCATAGGGTTGTTGTCTATATGAATTGTGTTAATATCATAAGGCTTTCAGAAACAGTGCCTAGAAAATAGAAATCACTTGCACATGGAAAACATAGAAATGTTGGGTAGATAACTAAAAATAATGACTTATAGGTTCCAGTTGGTGACCAAGGGCAAGAAATGCTCTGTTGCAAGATGGCACTGTTGACACAAACTCAAGGGTCTCAAAGTAACCAATGCCAACCAGTGAAGGCTCTGTTCAAGCATGAATCTCTGGGATCCCAGCCCTTACAAGACAGAGGTGAGTATTCTCTTCTGGGTTGTATGAATTCTATAGACTTCATCCAATTTCATTTAAGGATCACTCAAAAGATCCATTTACAGTTTATATGCTCTTTACAGAGAGACTCTATTTTAAGACTGAGTCTAAAAGAGAAATTTCAAACCAAACTAGGACATAGTAAATCCTATTTTATTAAAATTGATGTCTAGAAATAATCAGTTTTTTAAACAACATGGTGATCTCCGTTCATTAAAGATATATTTAGGGAGCCCTCATCTGTGGTAGCCAGTGTTGTAGGTACTGGAGAGAGAGCCACCAATAAGACAGAATTCTTGCTTTGATGGAGCTTACATTCTAGCAGGGAGGATAGCAAATAATAATATAATTTTTGATATTGGTAAGTGCTATGAAGAAAGTAAGGCAGAATTTGTAAAGCCAGCCAGAACATTCCAGAGATAGTAGGACTACTACAAATAGAAGAGTGTAAATCTAAACCCTGTAAAATCTATAACTAGAAGAGTGAAAATCACTTAACAGGAAGCAGCTGTGTGTTCCATGCTGTTCCTCACGTGCTGTGAATATCTGGGTCGATTCCTAAGACATACAACACTTGGACATGCCATCCAACATGCAATCTTTGTTTCTCAGCAGAGTTCCTTGCCTAAACCAACTTGTTTTCTGCCCCTTGTGAATTGACTTATTGTAGGGAAACCTAAGGTTTCTTCTACTTCTCTTTTGAGTCTGAGCAAGTTCTATTTAAGCAGTCTTCCATTTCCTCCTTTCTGGACCAAGCCTTATTTGACTCCTCCTAGTTTTTCCTTTTTCTTTTTCTTTTCTTTTCTTTCTTTCTTTTTTTTTTTTTTTTTTGAGATGGGGGTCTCACTCTGTTACCCAGGCTAGAGTGCAGTGGTGAGACCTTGGCTCACTGCAACCTGTATCCCAGGCTCAAGCAGTCCTCCCACCTCAGCCTCCTGAGTAGCTGGGACCGCAGGCCCAGGCCACTACACCCACCAATTTTTTGTAATTTTGGTTCAGACAGGTTTCTCCAGGTTGCCTAGGATGGTCTCAAACTCCAGAACTCAGGCAACCCACCTGTCTCAGCCTCCCAAAGTGCTGGGATTACAGGGATGAGCCACTGTGCCTGGCCTCCTCCTAGTTTTTCATACCTGAAGTAGAAAGCATCCTAATGTCTACTAAAGACATTTTAACCAAAACAAAACAAAAACAAAAAACCCTCTTTACTCCCCATCTCCTAGCAAAATTCAAAACCCAAAGGTCTTCAAATGGAAAGCTTTGTTATGTTGCTTTCATTTCACCACTCCTACCAAGGATTCTGCACGTGGTTTTTGTATATCTGCAGAGCACACCAGATTTCTTTCGGCCCTAGGGCTTAAGCTGGTGGGAATCAGGCATTTTTGGAAGGAACACATTCTGTATAAACTTATTGGCAATAACTTACTGCCCCAGTTTCTGAACTTGGATTTTGCAAGGCAGGGAGGCTGAATACTAGGGTAGTTCTCATCCAGAGCTTCTTTCCTTCTTAGTTCTCCAGGTTCCTGGGCTTGCCCAGGGAGGGTGCTGCAGAGAAGATGCAATGGTAGCTTCCAGGCTCACTCCAGGGTCCCAGGTGAGCTGGAGCTCCTCTCCCTCCCCAGCACCCCATACCTTTCACTACTGTTGGGCTCCGCATTAGGTTCCTCCCTCCCCGGTCCTACCCCACCCCTATCCTAGATCTATATGGATTTGAGTTTTCTCATCTATCCCAAAGTTGCCTATTATTGTCTACCATCATTTTGGTGCCCACCTAAGAGGATTTTCCTGTTTCACAACAACCTTGGAATGTTATTTGTGCTTCTCAGATCTTTCCTACTACATTTCTTAGGTCAGCCTCTTCCTCAATGTGATTTTTCTTCTTCAACAAGGGCAGTTCCGCAAAAGCAAATGGAAGGTTTTGTTGGGATGGTCATTCTGTTTTGCTTTTTAAAATATAATAAGCTGTGCTGTTGGTGGGGGATATAAAGGCCTGGCCCTTGCCCTCAAAGAACTTATACCTGAAAGGTCAGATAAGGCATAGTCTCTTAAAGTTATTTATATTACAATATGAACAATCTTTTCTCAACCTAGATTTCAATTTACTATGCAGCCTTTCATGTCCTGCTTGAAGATCTCAGTGTTTAAGGCTCTGTAGTATCCTTTTTTCCCCTAATTTTTCTCCCTTCAGTCCTAGATTTCATTGTATTTTTAAAACTATTAATGTAAATGAACCTCTACCCTCACTTTGCCAAAGCATACTGCGAATCTTTTGAAAATTTTCAACATAGTTCCATTCCTTTTGCTGCATTGACCCTTGTTTTCCAAACCTTTTCACTTTCTGGACTGTTTCGATATTTATTGAAAGTACTTATTCTAAAATGTGTGTAATATTTCTTTCATTTGGCAGGTGTTTTTGGTAATGTTATTAGAGATAAAGCTAAATCGGTGTAGGTGTGCCACACTTGCTCTTTAAAGGTGATGTTCATTCTTTGCTTTGGGAGTAATTTTAGGCTAGAGGAGCTAGTTAGGACTACCTATTGTTTTAGGGGTTGCTGAAAATGGAAGATGTGGCTCTGACCCTCTCTCCTGGGTGGACACAGCTGGATTCATCTCAGGTGAACATCTACAGAGATGAAAAGCAGGAGAACCATAGCAGCCTGGTCTCCCTTGGTAAGACTGAGACACTAATTTGTCTTAAGATTGCTTGGCATTCTTTTGTGTATTAGAACCTATTGGGCTGTTAGAAGCTGTTGAGTCCCCATTATGTTTGGATTCAGAATCACCATTCCTGAAAGTCTGTTACTGACTACTAGCTTCTTACTCCTTCTGACCTTGCTTTCTCCTCTGCTATGCCATTGTTCTAGTTAGGATAAGTGGGGTGAAATTGACACAACTCCTAGCACAGGTCTGGCTCATAGGAGATGCTCAGTAAATGTTGATGTCCTCTTGTTCTTATCCCTGACTGAAGAGGAAAGCTGGGGGGCCTCTTCAGGAAATGAGCCATGGATTCAGAATGTGAGAGTCAGAAGCAACCTTAGACATCAACTACAGACCCTGACCTTAGGGTTGAGGGTGCAGAGGCGTAAATTACCTCAATTGTTTGAAATTTCATAGCTTATTGGTGGCATGGTGGGGATTCTAACTCAGAACTCCTAGTGCCAGTGCCAGCTCTGTTTGAGAACTTTGCCTCTGCCTGGGGCACAGTTAGAGACGACAGCCCATGTCATTGATCCATCACCAGTTTCTAGTCTTTGCTTTTGTCATTTCTGGCAGATGCTTCAGAAATCCTTCTCCTTGCCCTGTTACTATCACCCTCTGCTCAGCCCTTTCAAAATCTAATCCTAGGTGCATGGCCCTGCCTTACTATTCTTAGAGCTTAGAACCACCACATATGTCCCCTGCATAGTCCTGGGTCCTCACCACTTTCCCTCCATTCCCAGTTTGAACCCTTCCAGTGGCCCCATTCTCATTCTTAGGTCTCCCTCCTCCCCAGCACCCCTGTTCTCCCCTTTTATTCCCATCCTTATTCTAGCACTTAAATCCTCATCCTGGGCATATATAGACTTCTGTAATTCTTGCTTCCCTGGTGCTCATCACAGAGCTTTCCTTCCATGGCAGGGCATAACCCACGGTTGCTGGCCATTTGTTGTTTCAGGTGGTGAAATACAGACTGAGAGCAGGGGCTTGCCTCCAGTCAAGAAGCTTTCAAAAAAGGAGCATGGGAAGATATGCCACCTGAGGGAAGACATTGCCCAGAATCCTACATGTGCAGAAGCTGGTGAACAGGAGGGCAGGTTACAAAGAAAACAGAAAAATGCTGTAGGGAGTAAGCGACATTATTGCCATGAATGTGGAAAGAGTTTTGCTCAAAGTTCAGGCCTGACTAAACACAGGAGGATCCACACTGGCGAGAAACCATATGAATGTGAAGACTGTGGGAAGACCTTCATTGGGAGCTCTGCCCTTGTCATTCATCAGAGAGTTCACACTGGTGAGAAACCATATGAGTGTGAAGAATGTGGTAAGGTCTTCAGTCACAGCTCAAATCTTATCAAACACCAGAGAACCCACACTGGGGAGAAGCCCTATGAGTGTGATGACTGTGGGAAGACCTTCAGCCAGAGCTGCAGCCTCCTTGAACATCACAAAATTCATACTGGGGAGAAGCCATATCAGTGCAATATGTGTGGCAAAACCTTTAGGCGGAATTCACATCTCCTGAGACATCAGAGGATTCATGGTGATAAAAATGTTCAGAATCCTGAGCATGGGGAGTCCTGGGAAAGGCAGGGTAGGACAGAAAGCCAGTGGGAAAATATTGAGGCTCCCATGTCTTATAAATGTAATGAGTGTGAGAGAAGTTTCACCCGGAATAGAAGTCTTATTGAACATCAAAAAATCCACACTGGTGAGAAACCCTATCAGTGTGATACATGTGGAAAAGGTTTCACTCGAACTTCATACCTTGTTCAACATCAGAGAAGCCATGTAGGGAAAAAAATTATTTCACAGTGACCCATAGTATTCATGCCAACACTGGTGCTCATTTGTCACTGAACTGAAGCCACCCTGGAGCCCTTAATGGTTACAGAAGTTGTGGACCAGGGCTTTATTTACCACTATACATCATTGGGTATGGGAAAATGTTGTCTGGCTGAGATGATGAGTTATCTTCTACATTCTAGAAAGTGATTGGAAGAAGAAGTCATTTGATAGGAGGCCATGGGAGAGTCGTCTGAAAGTTGTAGGACCTAAAATAGTTTGTTCTCACCCAGTGGATTTAAATGGCCTTCTGGACTTGTTAATTGCCCTCAGCTAGCACTTTTGGACATCTGGTTGGATGGCTCTGATCTGGGGGGCTGCTGCTCTGACCATTCATTTTGCCTCTAATGAATCTTTCACATATTGGTCAGATCAATGAGGTCTTTTACTCTTCATTGTGCCTTGTATGATAGGTGCTAATAAACATCTATTAAATGTACCAGTAAAATGACCTTTGTAGCTCCAAAAATTTGATGTCTGTATTTCTGAGAAATTTCTAACTTATGCCATTTTTGTTTATGTATTCTTCTCTGAGGTTCTAGATTCTGGGTCAATCTAGTGTATTTGTTGCCATGTACATATTGTTTTCAGAATTGGGGTGGGGGAATCCATATTTCTCTACCATGATAGTACAGATGAGAAGAATGCCTTAAACAGCTTCTTTATCATTAAGACATTGTGAAATTGCTCCATCCATAGAACTCCACTGTTTAGTCAATGTTAATTATGTTAGTTTACATTAATTTTGCTACGCTTTAGGGGGAATCTTTCACATTCAGGTAAATAAAAATCAACCTATCAAGTTAGATCAAAATGATTATTATGAATTTTGAAGACATTCTGTAAGACTTACCATCTTGTTTCTTACCTTTTAGTTATCTTGGTCCTAACAAAGTGCTAAGACGTCATCTGTGTCCGTCTTCCCCAGTTTATAGCTGACTGTGCATCAAGGCTTATGCCAGCTAAGCTTAAACTTTCTCCAGGTCCGAAGATTCATACCAAATATTTATAATTATTATTCATGGTTTCAAAACTGCACTATCAGTTGGGGACAGGAAGATCAGGTTAGAGGCAGCCTACAAGGAGAGAAACTCACGTCTTGAGTGGTAGGAGAAAATGTATCTGTTCAGGCTGGGTGCCATGGCTTACACCTGTAATCCCAGCACTTTGGGAGGCTGAGGCGGGCAGATCACATGAAGTCAGAAGTTTAAGAGACCAGCCTGGCCAAGATGGTGAAACCCCATCTCTTCAAAAAATACAAAAATTAGCTAGGCATGGTGACACATGCCTGTAATCCCTGCTACTTGGGAGGCCAATGTAGGAGAATTGCTTGAACCTGGGAGATTGAAGTTGCAGTGAGCCGAGATGGTGCCACTGCACTTCAGCCTGGGTTTCAGAGTGAGACTCTGTCTCAAAAAGAAAAAAAAGAAAATGTGTCTGTTCAGAAGCACATTGGGAATCCTAGGTATCTGATGAAAAGGATTTCACAATATCCAAAGTGTTGATATGTGATGTCAAGGCTCAATGCTGTGAGTTATTCACAGGAAATAAGAATGTTTTGATATCTTCTGTTTTCATCCAAATCACCTGTGTGCTTAAAGACTGATTTCTGAAGTGCTCAAGTGCCTATTACCATCTTCCAGCATTGCCAGATTTTCATGAATGGATTCTGCTTCTGATGAATTACCTGACCATGTTTTATTCAGTCACCAGCATAGTGTTCTTGTCTATTCTCAAATACCCTTTCTGGATTTCTGCTCTGAAATACCACAGGCTGACCAGAGACTTTCAAAACCATAAAGCTCTGCCTTTATTAGTTCCCTACAATCATTAATTGCCTTCATTATCTCCTTCTTTTCAGTCTAATTTAAAACTTCTTTAGCATTCGAAAGTTCTGTAGACTTTCTCCACTCAATCTTTTCTAGCTTTTTAATTTCTTTAAAATCAGCTTTATTTATGTTATTTCCACAAAGCTAGCCACTTTCTTTTCTCCTTTTTTACTTTTCCTAAATATTTGCTAATAGCTCTGATTTTACACACTCAAACTCATTACAGACAACTCTATTCACTTTTCTGTGGTATTTGTTTCTGATGTTACATGAAGAGATACATGTGAAAGCTTTTTACAAACCAGAAAGTATTATACGAATATAACTTCCTGAGATTAACTAAGGACCACTGTGCCTCCTTTCACTCCTGCGCCTCCAAGCCTAAAAGTCTTCTCTGTAGCGGAGGGAAATATTGTTGAAAAGTACTTTTCAGTGTCTGCTATGCTAGACAAGGGAAGAAATAAAGCCTCTATTTGTGTGTGTGTGTATATACACACTTGGGCTTAGGCCTTTAGTACAATCAGGTTGGTAAGATTTGCACACAAATAAGGCAGTGCAATGATAAATGCCTTATGAGTGGTAAACTGAGGCTTGTAGAAATTCGGAGAAGGAAAATGATACTTCCAGCTGTGCAAGCTGTTATTATTATATGGACAGCTTTACATGTTAGAAAGCTGAATGGACTCACAACTTTGTCTAATTGAGTAAATAAAGCAAATTTTAAGAGATAGGGACATTGTAGGAGCCTTCAGTGCCAGAGCAAAAAGTTTAAATTTTATTCAGTAAGCACTAGGGAGCCATGATATTTCATAATCAAAATATTATCTAGGAAACTTTATCTGGTATATTATATGATATCAAGTAAGAAAATTATTTTGCTTACAGTCTTTTAGATACTCCACTTTTGTATAAAACAGAGGTATGTGTTTATAAATAGCTGAACTATAAAATGGGTTTATCTGTAGCCTATTGAAAAGGATGGCCAAAAAAGTTTATTTTCCAGTGAAATCAGATCCAGTAAAATAAACTATTTAGTTAAGATATAAGCAGTATATAAAGCACAATAAAATGTCACTTTTCATATTTTCTTAAATTGTTTTTAGGAATTTTAGTGGTGACTAGTCTGCCATTCTATTTCATTTCTGTAACCGAAGCAGTGCAGAAATCCTCTATTTTCTTTTTTCTCCCTTTGCTTGAATAGTAACTGGTTATAGCGTTTTTTTCTACTTTGAAAGAATGAATGGTTATAATGAAAAAAGCTTTTGATGAATGGCACTCTTGGATTTGTTCTTAATTTTGGCAAAGATGTATATAATTCTGCAAAAGACTTTCTCTGCCTCTTCCTTTAGTGGAAAAAAAAAAAAAAAAAGTAGGAGTGACAACTTACCTCACAGGATTCTGAGGATCTGCTTATACAAATAAGAAGTGCTATGTAAAAACTCTGGAAATGTTGCTAATTGGTAGAGAAGCTGAGATTGAACACTTTGTTAATGGAAACCTCCATATAAAGGAATTATAATTATTTAATAGTAAAAACTATATTTTAAAAATATCCTGTAACTGTTTGACAGTAATGGTCTTCTTATCTTCTAATAATTTCCCAAACCTACATGGTACCATTTCCTCAATTATTCATAAGAACTTTAACCACTAAGTAAATTCAATTTATCTACTTTTCTCTAAATACCTGTTTTAGTCCATTTTTTGTTTTTCCTCATAATAGTCAAAATTGGGTCTGATAGATTTAAATGAGGAAGCTTTATTTTTCAGTCAGCTTTGTATAAGTAGTTTCTCTTTTGTACATTTCAAAGGGAGTTCCTATGACAGAACTTTTTTGGGATGAGTACTTTCCACGACTACTTTCTTGTGAACTTTTTTTTTATATGTATCTTGTTCTCTTATTATAGAAATATCCTTTCATTGTTGTATTTACCCAGATTTCTTACTTGGTTTCTGGCATTTGCGGTCCCCTTCTATTTACAATATCAACCAATGACCCTGGAATTTGAATGCAGTAAGATTTCCTGGACTCCTTTCTGAATTAATGGTTGAACACTGGGGTATATTCCTGCCTGTTCTGTGTATGTTGTTGAATTGGAAGATTACCCAAAATCCTCTGCACATTTTTTCAAATTCCTGTTTTTATTGCCATTTCTAAGGTTGGTACTTCAAGGTTTTCAGGGATCTAGGAAAGCAATCCTAATGTAACTTACTTGTATACAAGTAATAAACCATATGATTATTCCTTTCCTCTGAATGAATTATTAAATAAGACAACAGACTGCATAATTTCCAAACTGTCAGAATAATAACTATCATTTCAGGTATTAACTAAAGCATTAAAACCTTTAACAATTTTCTCCCTTTTTTTCTCTCCCACCAGTTCTGCCCATAAGCATTGGGAGCCTGGGAAATGGAGTTTGTAGCCTTACAGACCCACTTATAGCACAGGGTATACAAGGCCTGCTGAAGGGCTGAGAGATACGAGGGACACATGAGATATATGAGATATATGACTGGCTTTTCATTGTAACCTCAGCACCTAAAAGAGTTCCTCTTAGATCAGTGAATGTGGAAATTGGCTGACTCAACTTCTTCTTTTGTATTATTTAAGTAAATCAAGATTTCTTGACAGCCAAAGTATTTGCATATCTGCTTCCAGAAATACTAGGCTTTCCCTATTTCTAAATAAGTTATGTATTCCTAACCATTCATTCAACAACCCCCATTTGCTTATGTCATGTCTATGCTCAGGCACTAAGGAAATAAAGATGAACAAGATGTTGTCTTTGCCTTGGAAAAGCTTGAGAGCTACTCTCTATTTTAACCTGCTAGGTTTTGATTTGTAACTCACTTTTAAGGTAGATTCAGAAGCTGATCATTTCTCACCACCTCCACTGCTACCATCCTGGTCTGAGCCACTCTTGCTCTCCCATGATTATTACTATGGAAGCCTACAAATGAGTCCCCCCTACAGTTTCTTCTCAATATATCAGTCAGAGTAACCCTTTTTAAATCCCTGCATAATCTAAGTCGGATCACACACATCATTCTTCCACTCAAAACCCTGCAATGGTTTCCATTTTCACCAAAATTAACAGCCCAAGCCCTTACAGAAATGGGCAAGGCTCTTCACAGTCTGGCTTCACATTATCTCTCTGACCTCAGCGTTTTTTTTTTTTTTTTTTTTTTTTTTTTTTTGAGGTGGGGGTCTCACTCTGTTGCAATTTACCTATATAATAAACCTGTGCATGTACCCCTGAACCTAAAATAAAAGTCTAAAAAGAAGTACTTAAAGTGTTGAAGAATACAACTGTCAACCTGAGCAGACTGAGTTAATGAGGGCTCTCTAACTTACTGCAGACACATGGAAACTACCATTCAGGGGTAAAGGTTAAATAAAAACATGTTAACACAAAGCATGAGAGAATTTGCAGTTGCTATACAAACCACTGAAACATATGCTTCAGGGAGAAGAAAAACGAATCTTCAAGAAAGCCCCAGTGAGTAAAACCAATTTGTTAAAATGTATACATGGAAACCTAGTTAATCATTGATGATAAAAATCCAATAGTAACAACAATGATAATAACAATCATCACTTTGGGGAAAGGAAAGCTTAAAAACAAGAAGAAATAAAGTATTAATCAATAACATTATATAATATTGGGGGGGTTGATAGGAGGCATTCCAAGTTTTGTATAATATGGAGAAGGGTGGGGAAAGAGATTAGTTTCATAATCTCACAAGCTAGGTGGGTATATGGACACTTTATGCTCATGTGTAAATGTATGGTTTTCAAACATGTAAATGGGGGAAAAGAAGAAAATATAAATTAATCAACACAAGACAGGAACTAAAAACTCAAAGAAAGATCATGAAAAATAGAATGACAAAATCAGGTGGTGGAAATAAATCAATAATCATAAAAATATCTATGGATGAAAAGGATTCATAGTTAAAAGATAAGATTTGGACATAAAAATATTGTAAAAGGATATTAAAATCAATTAAAAAAACATACTGCTTAGGAATGCATATATACGCAATAAAATTATATATAAAAAAGGAAAGCAAGAAATGATAAAATTGGGATTCAGGATGATGTTCCCTCAATTGGAAGAAGTCAGGTGGCTGAAATAAGGAGTACCAAATGATTAGATATACATGTGGTTTTCAAGGTCTTTTGTTTTGAATGGCAGGTTAAAGAGTGCTAATTTAATTATTTAAAATAACTACTTAAATTAAGAAAGTAATAATCAAAAGCATGCCATTCATGGGCTGACATGGGCTGGATCTGTGTCCCCATGAAATTTCATGTCAAATTGTAATCCCCAATATCGGCAGCAAGTCCTAGTGAGAGGTGATTGGATCATGAGGGTGGGTTTCTCATGAATGGTTTAGCACCATCCTCCCTGGTTCTGTCCTTGCAATAGTGAGTTCTCGTGAGACTGGGCTGTTTAAAAGTGTATGGCATCTTCCCCCTCTCTTTCTTACATCTGCTGTGGCTATGTGACATGCCCACTCCCTTTTTGCCTTTCACCACAATTGTAAGCTTCCTGAGACCTCCCCAGAAGCCAAGCAGAGCCAATATCATGCTTCTTGTACAGGATACAGAACCATGAGCCAAGTAAACCTCTTTTCTTTATAAATTACCTAGTCTCGGGTATTTCTTTAGAGCAATGAGAGAATAGACTAATACATGGACCAGTGATATCAGTGTGTTATTAATCACATAAAGGAATATGAATAATACAATTCTGTGCACTTGATGTCCAAAGGAAATCATTTTTTTAAAATGCGAAGGGATGAGAAAGAGATACGAAGCTAATAATCTCTAAAAGATTTTGGCCTAGTTACATTCATATCAGACCACACAAGCATTGTTAGCAATAAAAACATCATGATTAAAGGAATAATTCCTCAAGATTTATTTGCATGTCAAGAAGACATGCAATTCCTGAACTTCTGTATACCTCAACTCATAACCTTAGAATATGCAAAGCAAAATTGACATAATACAAGGAGAAATTGACAAGTCTTTTCCCCACAGCAAAGTATTAACAAATCTCTCCCAATAATCAACAGATTAGGCCAGGTGGGGTGGCTCACACCTGTAATCCCAGCACTTTGGGATGCCAAGGCAGGCGGATCACTTGAGGCCAAGAGTTCAAGACCAATCTGGCCAACATGATGAAACCCCAATTCTACTAAAAATACAAAAATTAGCCAGGCATGGTGGCACAGGCCTGTATTCCCAGCCACTCAGGAGGCTGAGGTTGCAGTGAGCTGAGATCATGCCACTGCATTCCAGCCTGGTTGACAGAGCAAGTTTCTGT